AAAGACCTGCAAATACAAAGACCTGCAAATAGAAATAGAACAACTGTGGCAAAAGAAAGCAAAGATAGTACCAATAGTAATAGGCACCTTGAGTGCAATTCCAAAACATCTGGAGCATCACTTGAGCACCATTGGGATTGACAAAATCACCATTAGTTAACAGACCAAATGGAATGCAGTGACGGGTCTCACTCTTCCTTGTCAAAGGCCTGGGTGAAGCAATAGTAAATAAGCACATTAGTGAATAAATAATAAAAAGCAATGCATGTTGCAGATATAGGGGTAAACTTTTCTGGAATTAGTCCATTCACTTGGCTTTGCATAATTCTTGCTGATGCCATGACTGTTTCTCAGTCCTGAGAAATGATAATCAGTGTATTTTGGGTTTGGATCTTATTCACACAGTGCTACCTTTTCTTACTGAACTTTCAAGTGAGATTTTTCCAGTGTATTGCCACAGTTCCAGTTTTCCTCTGAACATTTGATAGTATCTCATCTAGGAAAAAAAAATAAAACTGCTTATCCATGAAGTAAAATTCGACTAGGATTTACCTTCAATGCCCAGTTAGGAAAGACTTTTTCTGAGTCTCATCCATGGAAGAATAATTTTGAATCTGAGCCCTGCCTTACTTGATGGATCTGCAAAATGATTAATTTTATCCATTTCCTAATTAACTTGTAATATAATTATATTAGCGCAAGAACATTAAGATGCCATGAAGTTTAGAAGAATGTTACAGTTATTTCATGTCATAGCTATCTTAGCTCATTCAGGTAGGGGAACTGTGTCTGTTGACACTCAATTTCCTGTCACCATCTGCTGGGTATATGATGAGATGTTTGCAGACTTCATCTTAGAAGATGTAGTTGCAGAGTTCATCTTAGATCCAAATAAAAAGCAAAAGACCAGGTATGGTGGTTAGAGCATTATATTTAGGTACTATTATTATTCATAAGATACTCATATTTCACTTAAACTTCATTTAAAAGTCAGGTGGGCCCTGACCTACCTATCTTTTTGCTAACTGGTGAAGACACTTCTCTTCCAAGGGGGTTTTGGTCAGGAAAATTTTAATTAGACAGCCACAGTTTTATATGTTAGTTATTTCATGTACTTCACTGTGTATTGTTTTATGATTGTATTTAGATTGTGTGTTGTAAGCCACTGTGAGTTACTTAAGTAGGTAGCGTACATCTATTGATAATAAATACTGTACATTTAAAACAATATTAAAATGTAGTCTTATATTTAAAACCAAGATTAAAGAATGCTTTGTATGTTTAAAACCTAAATCTGTGAGAACCAATGAGGAGATCAACCAATAAAAACCAAGTCTCCACCTTCAACCCGCAATTTGAAAGAGGAGCAGCTTGAGGAGTTCTGGGCCATAAGCAGTTCCACAGCGTAGGAGCAGCCAACAAAAAGGCCAAAGACTTCATGCATCGCTGATGGTCTAGCCATTGCACAATATACAGTGGTACTTCTAGTTACGAACGCCCCTCCTTACGAATTTTTCAAGATACGACCAGCTCCGGTCCCAAAAATTTACCTCTACT